GTCACATTTACAATTTTTTTAATAAAAACTTAAGTCCAATTCACCACATTTTTTAATATGTTATCCAACCAACTTCGACAATTGTTCGTAATGCAATTATTTGTTCAGTACATAGATAATTTGGACCCAGATATTTACATTTGTTGTCAATTATAATAAATTCGACATACATTTTATTATTCCTTATTTGTTCAAGGGTTCCGTTCAAGTTTCAACGTAAACAGTTTTCTGTCATGGTCTCATATGCTATGACGATCAACAAGAGTCAAGACCAGTCTCTCTCTCTCACACGTCCGCTTAGTTTTGAAGAACTCAATCATGGACAGTTGTATGTTGCTCTATCTAGAGTGACAAATTGAAAGAGTTTGAAGATAATGATATGTAGTGATAGTGATTCCGACGATAGGAAAACCATAATTGTTGTATATAGAGATGTTAAATGGTTCTTGACCCGATGGGTCGGCCCGTTTAGCCCGGAAAAAAATAGGGTTAGTGCTTTTTATTGGTAGCCTGTTTAAATCAGGGCTTTTTAGGCCTGGACCGTTTAACTCGAAGCCCGCTAGGGCTAGCCTGTAACCGCTAGGGCTAGCCCGTTTAACATCTCTAGTTGTATACAAATAAATATTTAATAAAATTTAGAATTATTTTCTTAATTCCTATTTTTTTATTATGAATCAAATTATGGTTATGTATTTTTTTTATATTGTTATCTTTTCTACGTAATTTCGTCCGTGCAAATGCACGGGTTGATCACTAGTATTTATAAAATTATAAATGCTCATTAAATGATATTTATAAATTAGAAATATGAAATCAATATGTAACACAATTTACCTATATTAATTTGTTAAAAATGTTATATAAAATTTATATTGTGCAAAATTATATAAAACATGTCTATTTAAAATCAGTACACAACCATAGGGTGCAAGTAACTGATAATAAGTTACATTATATTCATTTCAAAAAAAAGATGTCATTTTAAAATTTTTATTTAAAAATTTGATTTGACTACAATGTGATTAAAGTAAAAACAAACTTGTATACACACACCACACAAAAAAAAANNNAAAAAAATTGATATGTTCTTCACACATACAAAGAAGAATCAACCATGGTATTATCCATATTTTTCTTTCATTAATATCGAGTAAAATGCTCAACAATATGAAAAAAAAAATTGAGATACCATTTATTACCATAAACGGGTACATTAGATCAATATATAGTATACCAAATAATTTGATTTCATACATTACTAGTACGTACCCCGTGCGATGCACGAGACAAACATATTATTTTATTTTACATGCTTTGTCCGTTTAAGTATATAAAGTAATAGGATCATCATCTATTTTTCATCTCTTTTAATCAGCGTTAAGTATAATAAACAATAAGGTTATAATATATTTTGCACTTCTTTTAATCAACGTTATTTTTTTAGTCAAAATATTAAAATAATTAATATATTATTTCACTAACACATTTATCTTAATTTAAGTTTGATTTTAGTATATATATTTATTCCTTGACATAAGAGAGAATAACAATTTTACTTATTTTTTTCACCATATAATACTTAATTATTATTTTATTATACACTTTATGACATATAATGTCATTATTATTTATAATGTTATAGAAGTTGTGCGTCTTCTTTATATTTTTATTTTACGTAATGAAAAATATTTAATGCAAGTTGGTATTATTTATTTATGTAATCAATTTAAAATATGTAAATAAATTTAATATTAAATAATGTATAAATATTTTACTAAATACACACATGTTTATTTAGAATTTAACTTTGTATACTAATTAAACAACTTTGATTTAGAAAATCCTAAAAACTCGATCCCCCTATGATCAGGATTTTTCTAGTTCGTATTATAAGGATTTATGGTTTATTTGGTATACTCAGCAATGAAATATATTTTACAAGAAATTAATTATAGAAATAAATCAAAATAAAAAAATTTAATCTTGGGTGCCAATAATATACAAATAAATTCTTTTTTTTTTTTGAAACGACAGGGATAATATATATAACCAAAGCGAACCATGTTTGAATGATGTACAAACCAAACGCCAAAGAAAAAACTTGGAGGACACGCATAAAACGGTCTAGAACCTCAACACAAAGACAAGAGAAGCCCAAGAAACCGAACAACCTCCACTGCCCGAAGGCCTAGAGATGAAAACAAAACGATAAAAGACAAGAGAAACTAAAAACATCCAAAAACTACAGAAACTGAGAAAGAAGAAATAAAGCAGAAACAGCAAAATAGCAGCTAATGCCTCAAGGAGATAAAATCAATCCAATCTTTGTGAGCAGCCTTGAGGGTAATCTGAACTGGCATAATAATGTTTTGAAAAATGCTGAGATTGCGGGTCTTCCAAAGCCACCAGAGGATGTAGGTTGTGAGCGGAATTCTAGCTTTTGATGTCTCTGAATTCCCAATAGAACAAATGTGTTGCCACCAGCAGGAGATAGAGCAGTCTATGTCAGGCTTCAGATTCCAAGAAACTGGAGCAATGCTCCACAGATTAGTTGCCCTCTTGCAGTGAAACAGAACATGAGAAATAGTTTCTGGGAGTTCACCACATATACTGCAAATCACATCTATATTCAAGCCCTTCCTCTGCAACTTAGTTTTGACTGGGAGAGCTCCAGCTAGACACTTCCAGATAAAGGTTTTAACTTTATTGACAATGTTGAGTTTCCATAATCTCTGTCTAGTCTGGGATAGAGAGTTACTTGTCACAGAGCTACAACCAAGAATATCCAGAGAGAGGAGCTTTTGTTGAGATAAGAAAGCATAGGTGCTGGCCACTGTGAAAGATACAAATAAATTCTAAATAGTAGTTAATATGTTTCAATTTTAATTTTTTACCATTAGTAAAATTATTTATTGTATCTGGTCATTATCTCTTAAATGGTAAATTATATTAATTTGAAGAACGATTTATTTTTTATATTTAACAAAATAAAGTTTAAGAAACAAATATATTGACAAGATCAATTCACCAACTTGATTTTGTCTGATTACTTAGAAAAAAATTCTACCTAACATGTTAGGATTTTCCATAAATATTTTTGGATAAAAAGTAAATATTTGTGAAAATAAACAAACTAATATTATGGTTAGAACTTAAAATATGGTGTAATATTATCTTGACCAAAATATTATCAACATGGATCACAAAAATCAATCTTGTAATTTATTATAATGAATATCAATAAAAGTATTACAAATAATAATATTTATCTTGACCAAATATTATCAACATGAATCACGAAAATCAGTCTTGTAATTTATTATAATAAATATCAATGAAAATACTACAGAAATTAATAAATTTATTTAAGTAATTATCTGATCATATTTTATTTGATCTTATTTGAAAACGTGTAAATAGAAACAACAAATGCATATATTTAAAAAATTTCCAAAAATAGTATGCATTAAATGTTTCCTAAATTTTTGCTACTATTTCTAGTAAATGGTAATTCCTTTTATATAGATATAGATTGATAACATATAAAAAAATGTTATTTAGTTTAACCACAAAATTAATTGCCCAGTGTACAAAAA